GAAACTGGACCACTTTCTTATACCATGCACAAATATAAACTCAAAATGGATTAAGGACCTAAATGTGAGACCTGAAACCATAAAAATCCTAGAAGAGAGCACAGGCGGTAATTTCTTTGACATCAGCTATAGCACCATTTTTCTAGAAATGTCTCCTGAGGCAAGGGAAACAAAAGCAAAAATGAACTATTGGGACTACATCAAAATAAAAAATCTTCTGCACAGCAAAGGAAACAACCAACAAAATTAAGGCAGCCTACGGAGGGGTGTTTGGGTGGCTCAGCTGACTCTTGATTTTGGCTCAGGTCATTTTCTCATGGTTTGTGGGATTGAACCCCATGTCAGGATCTGTGCTGACAGCACAGAGCCTGCTGGGGATTCTCCTCTCACTCTATCTCTCAAAAAGAAATAAACAACAACAAAAAAAATCACTTAAAAAAAAAAAAAAAGACGACCTATGGAATGGGAGAAGATATTTGCAAATGTCTTATCTGATAAAAGGTTAGTATCCAAAATATATAAAGAACCAATACAGGTCAACACCCAAAAAACAAATAATCCAATTAAGAAATGGACAGAAGACATGAACAGTCATCTCTCCAAATAAGATATCCAGATAGCCAATAGACACATGAAAAGATGCTCAACATCACTTATCATCAGGGAAATACAAATATGAGATATCACCTCACACCTGTCAGAATGGCTAAAATCAACAACACAAGAAACAAGTGTTGGTGAGGCTGTAGAGAAAAAGGAACGCTGGTACACTGTTGGTGAGAATGTAAACTGGTACAACCAGTGTGGAAAACAATATGTAGCCTCCTCAGAAAGTTAGAAATAGAACTACCCTACGATCCAGTAATTGCACTACTAGGTATTTACCTAAAAAATAAGAAAACACTAATTTGAAAGGATATATGCACCCCTATGTTTATTGCAGCATTATTTACAATAGCCAAGATATAGAAGCAGTCCTAGTGTCCAATGATAGATGAATGGATAAAGAAGATGTAGTGTATATACAAAATGAAATATTATTCAGCCATAAAAAGGAATGAAGTCTTCCCATTTGCAATGACATGGAGGGAGCTAGAGAGTATAATGCTAAGTGAAGTAAGTCAGTCAGAGAAAGGCAAATCCCATAAGATTTCACTCCTATGTGGAATTTAAGAAACCAAACAAATGAACAAATAAAAAAATTAAAAAGACAAATTCAAAAACAGACTCTTAACTATAGAGAACAAACTGATGGTTACCAGGGGGAAGGAGGTGAAATAGGTGATGGGGTGGGGGGAGTAAGAGCACATTTATCATGATGAGCACTGAGTAATGTATAGAATTGTTGAATCACTTTGTCATATACCTGAAACTAATATAACACTGTATGTTAACTTTATCGGAATGAAAATAAAAAACTTAAAACAAAAAATAACTTAACAAAATTCATTGGTGCTCTATCCTCACTATTCCCAACTTAGTTGATCTGCAGTATACTCCAGGCACTTGGAGTTTTGGAAGCTGCCAGGAGATCCAGTATACAGCTGAAGTTGAGGAACACTGTGGCTACAGCACGATTTCTCTACCTTGGCACCATTGACATTCAGCCCTGGCTAATTCTTTGTTCCGGGAGCCTGTCATGTGCACTACAGAATGTTTAGCAATGTCCCTAACCTTTATCTGCTAGATGCCAGTAGCACTTTCCTTAGTTGTGACAATCAAAAATGTCTCTAGACTTTGTCAGATGTCTTGGAGGAGACAAAACCCTACTGAGAATCACTGGTCTGGAGCCATTGCTGTTGTCCAAGCTACTGTGGAGACTTCTGTGAGAGAAGTTTCTCCAAAAGAAAAAAAAAAAAAAAAGGCTTCTATTTCACCCTCTCAGACAGGAAAATATATAATAATGCCAAGGGGATCAGTCAGAAAACCTTCCTGCGATTTGAGGAGAACTAATCAGGGTTTTTTTTTTTTTTAAAGAATTTTTATTTCTCAGTAAAGAGATGGTATATTTCTTCAGGAGTGTGGTAGAGGAAGGTGTTTTTGAGAATAGGGAGTTAAGGAAAGGATACAGATCTTTCTAGCTGATCTGAAGCACAACAGAAGGAAACTAAATCTTTTTTTAATTAGCATGAACAGCCTGGCCTGGGGGAAATATTGTCTCTTGCTGAGGAGTTGCTGCCAGCAAGATAAAGTGGAGGAGATAAAGCACAAGGGCTCGGACTGGATGGATGTAAATGCTGAACGTTTCTTCAGCTCTAGGGAGGCTTGGCCACCAAACTGGTGATGGAGTGAACAGAAATAGATGAGAGTCTGGGTTCATGGTTAAAAGCAGAGTTAGAAGAGCTCGTTCTGGAAAGACTGGAGTTTGGGAATAAACTATTTGAGTGGTTGTCTTAGTTTGGGTCATCTGAGAGAAGAGCTCAGGAAGCACCACAGGACAGTGGGGAAAGGAGGGGAGGGAAGCTAATAAGAAGTACATTATTGGGCTTTGCCACCATGGGCAGTGGAGCTTAATTCTTCTGGAAGTTGGCAAGGGCCAGGGCTGAGCACAAGCCTCAGAGGTGTGGGCCAAGAGAGCTGGCGTGTTTATCCATGAATTCCCATTTGTCACTGGTTGATGGCTGTGCTTAGGGCCACACAATTCCAGCAGTTTTTTTGGGTTTTGGTTTGGTCCTCGGGCAGAGTTGCCAGTGTGGTGCAGGCAACTAGAAGCGGCTGGTCAGCACTGGATGGTTCTTGCAGGTGGGATATAGGTGGGCCACTAGCAACTTCTGCCATAGTGGTCAGTTTCAAAAATTTATTTAAAGCTATTAACTGCTTTGCTAATTAACAATGTTTAATTTTTAATAAAAATGTCTAATATAAAGACAAGGAACATCAGGAAGGCACACTGACCTCTGTCACCCTCAAAGATACCCACCTTACTGTTTGAGACCATGAGATATCACTGCCAGAAGCCTACCCATCATCTTGGCCCTGTCCTCAACTCCTCCTTCCCTCACCCCTTGCATACAGATCCCTAGCACCGTCTTTCAGGTCTACTCCAAAGCACTCAGGAATTTATCCACTTCGGTCTCTGCTGCCACCTCATTAGTCCAGGACAGTGCTGTCTTTTGCCTGGACTATTGCAATGGTCTGCTCCTGGGCTCCCCACACTAGCTTTTCTTTTAGTTCCTTGGACCCACCAGGCTTTTATTTCGGAATGCTCCTCCCCTCTACCACACCCCAGCCCAACCCTACCCTTCCAATGATTTGCTTCTTCCTATCTTTTAGGTTTGGCTGTCATTTCTTCACTGAAGATCTCTTTTAAAGAATGATCTCCCCTCCCCATCTGCTATTCCTATCTCAGTTCCTGTTAGTTTTGTTTTGGCATGTTTCACAATTTATAATTATTTTGTTTGTTTATTCCATCAGTCTCCCTCTTAGAATGTAACCTCTGTCAGGGCGAGAACCATATGTATCTCTTGGACCACCGTATCCCTCATAGAGTTGCCAGATTTATCAAATAAAAATACAGGTTTCTGGGGCACCTGGGTGGCTCAGTCAGTTAAGCATCCAACTCTTGATTTCAGCTCAAGTCATGATCTTATGATTTGTGGGATTGAGCCCTGCATTGGGCTCCGCACTGACAGCCTGGAGCCTCCTTGAGATTCTCTCTCTTTGTCTCTCTCTGCCCTTCCCAGGCTCATTCTCTCCCTTTCTCTCTCTCTCAATAAATAAATAAACTTAAAAAAAAGACAGGTTTCCATGTCCACTCTTGTACTAAAAATTATTCAGGGTTTATCTGAAATTCAAATTTACCTGGGCATCTTTTGTTTTATTTGGCAGCCCTGGTTCCTGGGCCCTGGTACATAGCTGACTCTCACAACCTGTTGTTAAACAAAAACTTAGTAGCAGCATATCAAAATTGATACTTGGGCAACACAGAGGAGAGAATGTGCTAAAACTATAGAACTAGAGTGGTGAAAAATACACTTGCCATTCTTTTCTGTTCTGATTTGCCTGTTTTCTCTCTCCAAGAGAACCTAATCAGCTCACCCCAGAGCCTTGGACAGCCCAGTCCTTGGGAGGGATGCCGGCCACAGGAAGGGAGCTGTTGGGCATAGTGTTTATATACCTCACTGCCTCATTTTTGCTGTGGTTCTGTGCTGGGACCTTGATCTTCTTTGGTTCTGGTGTCCCCAGACTGTGAGCTCGCTAAGGGGAGAGATGACTTCTTCCTTCTCAATCACTCACCCCCAGGGACTTACTCTGTAGATGACACGTAGCAAGGACTCATTGAATGGCTCTCAAGTGGTATGATCAATGAATGAATAGTAGGGGGGCTAACCACTCTGGTTTGACCGGGCCTGAGGGTTTCATGAGATACGGGGTTTTCAGTGGAAAAAACAGGACTGCTGGTCTCCTCACTGAATGATGCTCACTCTTGGTGGCTGGGCTTCTTGTCCACAACCAACTATACTGGCTGCTACATGACTATCATAATTAGCCTGCTGTTCTGGCTGCCCATCTGTTTTAGGAAGACACTGGATGTTTGGAGCTCTGCTGACCCCCTGTGCTTCCCTATGCCTGGGACCTTGGCCTTGGCTTCAGCCTCAGTTCATGGTCCCTATGTTGGCCTGTCCTTCCTTGTGGTCTGTGGTAAACACCCTGGATTTGCGCTCCTGGAATAAGGGTATCCAGGCAAACTCATGTGAAAAGACTCTTGATCTTGAGCCAATCTCATGGACTGCCCCCAGCCCTGGCCACTATAGGTATGTCTCATCACGACCTGATTATGACCAATTGCTACTTCTACAGAATACCAGTCAAGTATTTATTGAGGAATTAAGCTGACATAGAACTTTCCAAAAACATTTCTACAAATGTCTGAGTTATTTGCCTGTGAAAAAGTGAGTTCTCATTTTAACCGACCCCCCTCCCCCATACTGCCAGAAGGCATGATATTCTAAACAAAACCACACAAATCCATTCTCAATTATGATAGCACTGCTTCAGTCTCAGTTAGGTCCTGCTGGGTTCCTGGAATTGGGAGTGAAGTGGCTCTTGAGAGGTTCCCAGCACTTGTAGTAATTCTCATCCAAACAATTAGAGGTCTTGAGCCCCCACTTGGTGACGGCCATACTTAGAGAAGACTCAAACATAAATGCCTGTAGGAAATGGGGGAGGGGACAAAAAAGAAGTGAGGTGGATAATAAAATACATTTGATTAGATGTCAAGAGAAAAGATGTAGGTAGGCAGAATCTTTGAATAATGAATCATGTGTGCTAGCAGGGTGAGGACAACAGGCTCACACCTTGGGTTCTGGCTCCAGCCCTACCACTTCTAGGCGAGTGATACCTGGTGCAAGGCCCTTACCTTCTCCGAGCTCCAAGTTTCATTCTATACAATGGAATTGGGCATGTAAGCATCACATTGTCCTTGCAGCATTATGGAGCTAAATATGCTAGATCCAAGGGCAGAGGTGGAAGAGTTTTAGGAATATTCATCTTCTTAGGAGCCATCACTTACTGTGGCTAAGTCCCTGTGGGGAGGCCATAACCCCCATTTTTGCAGAGGAGGAAACTGGCTCAAAGCTGGAAGTGGCTTGTCTTAAGCGATAGTAACAAGAGGTGGCAGAGCTGAGATTTGAGTTTTGTTCTTAAGGACTCTGACCAGGAGATGGCCTGGGAAAAGGAGAAGGAGGTAAAGAGAGAGTGAGGAGGAAGAGGTGGAGGAAGAAGAAGAGGTGGAGGAGGAGGAGGAGGAGGAGGAGGAAGGAGGAGGTAGGACTGGCTGTAGTACTTTTAAAAAACCTATCCCAGAAGACTGAATGGTTGATGTCCCTCTGTGTTCAGGAGGTTTTTGTCCCCAACAGAAAGAATATGCAAGTGCTCTGTGCAGCTTAGACATTGTAGCTTCACCAATTGCTGATTTTCCTACCATTGTGGCTTTTAAAGATAAAACAAAAACAAAATACAACCCTACAATTCTTATGTGTTCACATTATTGGAAATTTTAAAAATATAGATGGACGAAAGGAAGATAAAAGTTGGGTCACAACCCAGAGAACCCATGTTAATGTTTGGTATCTAATATACATTAGCTTCAGGGAGATGATTGTCCCTGCCTGACTTCTCACCACAGGCTTGATATGAGGACCGTATCAGATTGTGTGGAACCACCGTGCACATTATAAAGCCCTATTCAGATATAAGGGTTGTTATTACGGTCGTTCTTGTCTGGTGTTGCCTCTTTGCTGCCTGCTTCTTAAGAAGCTTGCTGTCTGAACAGAGTAACAAAACCCCATCCCAGCTGAGTTATGAAGATGGTATTATACAAAGTTCATTTATTCCAAACTGGAATAAGGATGAGGTGTATAGATAGGCCTGGGTCCCAATTATATAATGGAAAATGGTGATGGAGACCCAAAGTTAGGTCTAAGTAAAGTGCCGGACCCTCCCCTGCCAGGTAGTCTGGGCTGTCTGGCTACTCAAGGCCTCCCCTGCCCTTAATCCCTTACATAGGAGAGTTCTTTCTGGCTAGTGCTCCAGGCCCTATGCATTTCCCAGAGTCTTGTTCCTCATAAAAACAGCTCTGTCCTTGCCTCATTGATGTAGAACAGTGCTCCCTGATAACACTGACATCCAAAGCCAAGTTGGGCACCAAAGGTTACTGAGTGGCAAGTGTGGGGTAGCCCATGTACCTCAAAGAGCCCTTGGCTTATTTTTTTATTTTTTATTTTATTTTTATTTTTTGAGAGATCAGGGAGGGGAAGAGGGAGAGAGAAAGAATCTCAAGCAGGCTCCACACTCAGTGCATAGCCCAAGATGGGGCTCAATCTCACAACCCTGAGATCATGACCTGAGCTGAAATCAAGAGTCAGAGACGCCCAACTGACTGAGCCACCCAGGCACCCCTGGAAGCAATATCTTAATTGAGATTGTCAAACCACATCTCAAAGAGATGTAGAGTTCCATAGAAATTTTGCAAAGGCCCTTGGAAAGGGAAAGAGAGCCAAGGTCAAGCAGATGGGACTCTGCACCCTCCCCTTGCAGATCAGCTCTATCAGCTCTGGTCCTGGAACTGTTCAATGCAAACTGCATTGGACAGAGAGACAGATAATGCTGTCTGTTTGCAAGCTGGGCATGGAGTCAGGAAGGCCTGTGCTATTGATTTTAAAGTCAGGTAGCATTGAAGCCATTTGTTTAAAAATGTAAAGCAAATTTGCATATGACTTAACATAAAATTACTCCTTGTGGTCCATAAACTCCACCTCCAAGAATGCAAAAATAAAGTAAAACTAAGTACCGCAGTCAACTGCAATTGTGTTCAGCCTCAATGTTTATAGCTTGACACAGGAAGAATGCAAAACAGATTTTAAATCCCATCAATTTCATCCCATGCCAAAGGAGAGCAAAAGAAAATGAGAAAACAGCTGAGAACTGCTTCTCACAAGCCCTGACTATAGTGAGGCAAAGGCTTTCTGATCCTCCTTGGCTTGAGAATTCCACTGAAGGTGACATCCTGCATCCCTGGGTACTGTGGCCCTAGAGGATTACCTCAAAAAGCAGGAGATGATTCTGAGACACAGCATATATACTCTGGGCTGCATACAGATAAGAGAAGACCTATTACATAGTATTAATATTCCTTTATATTTGAACAGTGCTGGACAGTCCGCGAGGTTAAATACAGCCACCTGCTGGGATGAATACCACACCCATTCTACAGATGGGGGGAAATGAAGCACAGAGAAGTTAAGTAACTTATTCAGGGTTTGTAGGAACTAAGAGCTAGGATTTTTTTTTAAGCTTATTTTTATTTATTTTGAGAGAGAGATAGAGAGCAATCAGGGGAGGGGCAGAGAGAGAGGGAGACTGAATCCCAAGCAGGCTCTGCACTATCAGTGCAGAGCCCAGTGTGGGACTTGAATTCATGAACTGTGAGATTGTGACCTGAGCCAAAATCAAGATTTGGACATTTAACCTACTAAGCCACTCGGGTGTCCCCAGAGAGCTAGGATTTGATCCCAGGTCTGACCAAGTCCGAATATCTTTCTACCCTACCACATCAGAAGTCTAGTATACATTTAGGGGTGTGTACATACACACACGGGCATATACACACAGAGAGACACACACTCTCCTCTCCTGACTCCTTCTCTCTGACGTTGGAGAAATACAAAAGCAGCTACTCCTCTCAACAAGGTTGGGGACCCCCAAGGCTGCCAGAGCCTGGCATTTAACTTGCTTACCATGGTGCCATCAGCAATCCTCTCGGGTGCCAGCTTGGCTTTGCTGGCCTTCTCAAAGCAGTCAGCATCAGGCCCGTGGGGGGTCATTGAGCTGTGCAGGCTGCCTCCCCCTGGCAGGAATCCACCTTGCTTTGCCTCATAGTGACCTTTGATAAGTCCCATGAATTCACTCATGCAGTTCCCTAGGAGGGTTGAAATAGTATTATTTTAATGTTTATTCATTTTTGAGAGATGGAGAGAGACAGAGCATGGGCAAGGGAGACACAGAATCTGAAGCAGGCTCCAGGTTCTGAGCTGTCAGCACAGAGCCCGATGCAGGGCTTGAACCTATGGACCATGGGATCGTAACCTGAGCTGAAGTTGGATGCTTAACCAACTGAGCCACCCAGGCACCCCTGAAATAATATTATTTTAATTATCTAAGGCAAAACCTGTAAAATACTAAGACCTCCCAAGCATTTTTTCTGTGCACTGCCAAGAAGATAGGAGAATATGATACATTTTTAGGATTACTAAAGAATACAGAGGCGGGAGGAACCCACAAAACATTCATTAATGTGGAACCCTTGGTAGGCAAAACTCTACCTGATGGCCATGTGGATTGTCAGAGGTCTTAAGTTCCATTGCCTGAAACAAATGATGTTGAATCTAAAGAAAGTCATAGCCAGATGATTTTAATAATAATTAAAATGAAAGTAATAATAAAGAATAGATGTACTCTGTCATCTAGGCTTATAAGCCCCATATTAAAATGATCTTTTTTCCCACATCTTATCTAATCCTCCTCCAAATAGCCCCACAGTAGTACATGGTATCACCATATTTCTGATTCCCAATCCAGAAAACTGAGATGGAGAGTGTGTGTGTGTGTGTGTGTGTGTGTGTGTGTGTGTGTGTGTGTGTTGATGGAAGGGTCATATAATGGAAAGAACGCTGGACTTGGAGTCTATTATCAAATGATAATCCATGTGAAAGGATCTTAGTATCTGTAAAAAACAGTCCATAAATGCTATATAGTCTAACAAATACTATCTTCTGTAGCTGAATCTACCATCTTATTTTCCACTTTCCAAAATGCCTCTGAGATTCATTCTTTTCTTTCTATTTCCATTGATATTCTCTTTATAGAATCCTAAAATTTTTAAATTGGAAAGGATCACTACTTCTACTCAGTAGAGAAGAATATTCTATGTCATTCCTGGCATTACTTCTTGGGTCTGCCTGCATGCATCCTGTGAATGGAAGCTTTCTACTCAACAAAGCAGTCTACCATATTATTGAAAAGCTCTGGGTGTTAGATAGTTCTCTCATATTAAATGGAAATTTGCTTTAATATAAGTATGTTGGTTTTGTGCTTTCTGGAGTCAAAAAATTTGACAAAAAAAATCACCATGTGCCTACTATTTCAATCATGTTTCTATTGAAATAAACCTCTTTATTGGAACAGCAACATATTTAGAGCAAGAATTAAAGAAATACAACACCTGAGCAAGTGTCTTTCTATCCATTCACCCATCTACCCATCCATCTGTCCATTCTCCACCCCATCTGTCTACCAATCCATCCATCCCACAGATGTAATTGAACACTCTGCTAAGTTCTGTGATTGAGTAAGAAATAGCCCCTTTAAAGTTACTTTCATAGTCCCTTCTGTGACAGTGCCGAGAGTGAAAATCATGAGCAGAGCAGAGAGCTATGACATTGGCAACCCTTGCAAAGCTGGACATTGGCATGATAAGTTCCTTACATGTGAAGTATAATCAAGTGCCAGAATATTTCTGTCATTGACTAGGCAGTCATTTTTATCCTGCCTAGGAAACAAAATTCTGCTGCAGGCACACGTAGAAAAGGTAAGACCCGAATCATAGCTCTACTCATTATTCCATGAAGCAGAAATAGAGGAAAAGAAGCAACTGTAAGCATAAAGTGTCTATATTTTAAAAGCAGGTCTGCTCATGACTTAAGTGTGCTGTCACACTCCTCAATCTAGTATGTGTCCTCAGAGTCACCTTCATGGCTTAATTTTAAGAAGAGAGCAATACAGAATTCAACTTTGATCTGAATATGAATTTAGGTAGCAATGACTTTGGTGATGACATTTCTATATCATTTTCTATATTTCAAAGGGCAGGGGGAGGGTAGACCTTGCCTCTCTGATTAATGCTGAATCCAGTTGACTAAAGTACATTAAGATGACTGGAGGCAATATTTCTACAGAAATAATTCTTCACTTCTATAAAGTCACATCAAAGTAGCAAAGATTTTGATAATATTGCTAAAGCAATAGTTTTAATATATCTGGAAAAAATAATTTCTAACTTGGGGTTCTGTATTTTTTCCAACTAAATCAGGCAACCATACCTTTCTGTTATCTATCCTGGCCAAATGTACTTGAGAGACTTTTAAAAAATTATAAGAGGCATTTCACAAGGTCATTTGTTTCAGGCAGGCTGAACTACAAGCTCAAGTCTAGGAGTGGCTGGAGAGCTGTAGCACAACAGCAAACTTGTCTAAGTTAGACAGTTCTATTATCCTTCTCTCTGGGTAGGGAGGTAAGCCACAGGCCAGTGTTTCTCAACATGTGGCCTGTAGACCTTCCGCATCAGAAGGTCTTGCTGCCTTGCTAATTCAAAATGCAGATTCTGAGGTTCTACCTCAGAACCAACTAATTATACTCTCCAAGAGTGGGTGCTGGGGACACATTTTTTTAAGAGTCATTCTAAGTGATTTTTATCTCCCTAATATTCTCAAAGTGTGGTTCCTGGAACAGCAGCATGAGCATCACATGGGGACCTGTTACAAAGGCAAATTCTCAGGCCCCACCCTGGACCTTGTTAAAACAGAAATTCTGAAGGTGGGGCCCAAGAATCTGTTTTAACAAGCCTTCCAGGTGACACTGACATATATGAAAATTTGAAAACTACCATATCAGGTACATAGAGGTACATAGCAGCCTCAAAACAAGAAATCTGTGAAATAGTGAATTATCAAGGGCTAGCATGTGAGGTACAGGCTAAGCTAAAGCAGTTCTCCTGGACAGCAGGTCTTCTAGGGGATTGATTTCCAGAACAGTCAGGGCCTATGATGGGCTTGATACTCTTCAGAAAAGATGATAGTTTATTTTGACTCTATTGACAAAGTAGTATCTTTGTGGTGGTAACTGATTGTATCCTTTTCTCCACCATAATGATGTCACCTGAAAAATGTGGTGCTGGAATTAGACCATAAAATGGCTTTCTTCCATCCTTAGGGCCCTACTTCTCCACCTTTTATAAATGCCTAAATTACCCATTCAGTGCACTGTTATATCTTGTTGAGCTGGGGCACCTGGGAGCTGGTACATATAGGGAGGAACCTTATATAGACAGAAAGCCCTGACGTTGACTAAGGAAAGGGATTTATTTTTAAGAATGTTCCAGCTGTGGAGTGCCTGGATGGCTGTCGTTCAGGCACCTGATTCTTGACTTCGACTCAGGTCATGATCTCATGGTTTGTGGGTTAGAGCTCCATATAGGGCTCTGTTCTGAGGGCGCAGAGCCTGTTTGGGATTCACTCTCTCTGTGTTCGTTCCTCCCCCACTTGCTCTCTCTCTCTCAAAAATAAATAAACTTGAAAAAAAAAAAAAAGAATATTCTAGCTGAAATGTACCTCAGAGTCTTTTCAGAACTCTATGTACAGAAATGCAATCTCCAAGAAGTGGAATTGTACATTGACCTTTAGGTTGGATTTACAGCTAGCTATTGCACAACTAAAAATGCCAACTTCATTAAATATAGCCATGAAATACCTTATTCATTCTTGGTGATGCATTTACTAATTAAGTAAATGTTTATTAGATGCATATCGTATGTTGGGCACTGGGCTAGGCACATCAGTTACTGGTAACGAGTGTATGTGTGCTCTGGCACACACTTAATTCAATTAAACCCTGACTCGACCACTTAACTAGATGTGGGGCCTTGAGCAAGTTACTCAATCTTCCCAAATTACTTAATCCTTATGCCTCAATTTCACCTTCTGAAAAAAAGGGAATAATGATTTTACCTCCCTCTTACAACTGTTTTGAGGATTAAGTGGGTTAATTCTTATAAGGAACGTATAGCCATGGAAAATGGTTAATAATTGTTAGCTGCTAGTAATAATATTAATAAAATAAAAATAATAGATTTAGTAAGTTCTGTTCTAGGTAACTAATACTCCACAGAAACTGCTTCCAGAATGGAGTCCATTCCCTAGTGTGAACGGCAGTCTGTTTCATCCCACCAAAATAATTGGAGAAGGCACATTTCCTGGCTCTCGAACCAGACTTAGATCAAGAGCTTTCCAAAAACAACAAAGTTACCAACCACATCCCACCATTCTCTCTCCCCTAAAAAGAAGGGTCTGACATGTAAAGAAACGTCTTGCTTCACACTTTATCAGCCTTTCTGCCTCTTCTCAGGGCCAGGGAAACTGGGCTGTAGGCATTAATTACTTCCTTCTCAGAGTCAACACATCACTGCCATCTCCATCTGTGGTGTTTCAGCCAGTACAAGTCTGAGGAGCAGCACTGGGTCTCAGGAGGCAGGATCCTGAAAGCCAGCCAGAGCATGGTGTCTGGAAACTCTTTGGTGGTATTCCCAATGGGTAATAAGGTTCACCGCTTTGCTGTCTCTTTGGTTTCCAATGTGGCTTGGGAAAAGAGAGACTTACTGTGGTAATAAGGAGGCCTGAAGGTCTTATCGGCAACCCCCCATCGAGGTGGGAAGATGACAAAATCAGCGACAGCCACCCCAGGGCGGACAGACTTGGCGGTCAATACTGTGAAGATGGATGGGTCCTGTGAAAGCACAAGGAGACACTGAGCCCACGATGGAAAGGAGGTGGCTGGACGATGGCACATGTGTCCCCACACTGGAAGGGGTTTCCAAGTTGATGCTCTAAATTCTGATCAAACCACACAGGCCAGGCTAAGTGTTCTGGGCTTATCGATGAGGTGCAGTAATCACTCATCTGACTTTCCCCGCTTGCTGTGCATGAAGCAAAATGAATTAATACCAGCTAAGGAGACTTGGAACTGCTTTCTCATCCTGCTGAGCCCCCATTTCATGCAAATATTACCATGCGGGTCTGAGAACCAGTCGTGTCTGCCTCTCAACCTCAGGTCAGGGTGAAGAGCTGGGATGTGCTTCAGGGAGTTCTTGGCAGAATAGATGCTCAGAGTGAGGTTGAAACAGCAATAAAATAGTATCTAGCTTTTGGTATAAATGTAGAATGTGCTTCTCTTTGGGGGCCTCGCAGAGATTCCAGATGCCATCCTCATTGCTTTCTTACCCCTGTTTGATTCTCAGGTCTAAAATCCACCACTTACATCACTAGTTTGGACGGTGGTAGTGTCGAGGGAAACAATATTGTGATTTTAAAAGAACTTTAGAATCTTTCAGTGGAAAGATTGAGATTCAATTTAATTGAAATCAATGATCATGTTTGCTTTCACATGCCATTCTAGGGTCTGGGATTTAAAGATGGTTGAGATCTATCTATTCCTTGCCCCTTTAGCATTACTAGTGGTGGTAGTGGCGGGGGGGGGGGGGGGGTGCTGAAGGAGTCATAAAACAGGTGCATGAACAACTAATCCTAGCAAGGTGCCAAGGATAATCTCACTTTATAAGTAGAAATCCAAGGGAGTATAGAGAGTGCCTGCCTACTGAGAGGATCAGGGGAGGCTTCGAAGAGGAGGTGATATTTGAGGAAGGTCCTGAGGAATGAAAGGAGAAAGAAAGAAAAAGGAGGGAGGCAGGAAAGAGAGGAAAAGGCATTTGAAGCATAGAAAACAAGAAATACATCAAAGTGCACAGAGATTTTGTCAAGAGGCAAGAAAGCATTGCCAGGGTGCACTGGCAAAGGGAAGAGGGGCTAAGAGTTAATACTGGAAAAAGGAGTCCAGGGCCAGATGGTGGAGAACATCAGATACCATGCTTCAGAGCTCAGATGATCCTAAACCACAGGGAGGCTGAAAAGGTTTTCTAATGCAGTGGTAGAATGACCAGACCTGAATTTTGGCTTATCGATAAGGTGCAGTAATCACTCATCTGACTTTCCCCTCTTACTGTGCATGAAGCAAAATGAATTAACACCAGCTAATTTTGGAAAAAATCAATGTTCATGTTTGCTTTCACATGCCATTCTAGGGTCTGGGATTCAAAGATGGTTGAGATCTGTCTATTCCTTACCCTTTAGCATTGCTAGTGGTGGTAGTGGTGGTGGGGGGTGCTGAAGGAGTCATAAAATAGGATTTTGGAAAAATTTTGGAAAAATAACTGTGGCAGCAGCACAGAGATTGAAACTATGCAAAGGCAAGCCAAAAACCCAACCCTATTGCCGTGAGACTTTAAACTTCATCTGTCATGAGAAATGATCTGAAACTGTTAAAGAAAAGGTAGTGAGGCTCAAATAAAGCTCTATCAGTGTCTCAGGGTCCTTTTTCATGCTGTTTTGGTCTTGATGCCTCATTTTCTTTTCCCTTTTGGTTTTGTTACGAGTTGTTGCTCTTCAGAAAGGTAGTTTTGTCCCCCTAGAGATAAACTGAACTGGCTCAGAGTAATCTTCCTGTCTCTGGTTCTTTGGCTTCTGCTCTAATTATCCCGTCAGCTTGTGGGTTAAGTTAATCTATTATGAACCAGGCTGCAAAATGAACTTTCCCCCAGGATCTCAGAGCTAGCACTTTATCATGAATGTGGGGCCTTGGGAGCTTGCCCTGTAGACCAGGGACCTATTTGTGGGCCTCTAATTGAGTGAAAAATATGACCAAGTTCACTTTCTTTGGTTTAAATTCAAGCACTGAACATTCTGAGGAACTTTAGAAGAGGGCTGTCTGCTCCATCACTGCTGAAAACAGCCAGGAGTAGAAGCACTGGAATAGGCAGCTAGACCAAGCAGACTCAGCATTTGTAAGCAGGACAGAGAACTTTCCAAATCCAGAGATTTTCCTTTCTTATCACTTTATCACTAATATTAGCCTTTTCCAAGAAGAAACTAAGTTTTTAGCCATCTATTGGGGTTGCTGTGATCCTCTGTGTGAGAACCGGGCTGTGTTCAAGGGTGAGTGTTACATGGAAGGCTTGGCTCTCCCACTAGCTTGTTATTTACTCCTTCACCAAAGCCTTGCTGTAGATGATTCAAATTCCTGTCAGCATAATGATGAATGACTATATCGTGGCCTTCCAAGGGTGACACTGGAAACGTTAAATCTGTGAACGTCAGGGGACTACTATGGACCCCTCCCATCCAAGGGCTACCCTATCTCCAGGCCCCTCCATGGTTCAGACTTACTGCGTGGTCAAAGGCCACTGAATTAATGACCATGAAGTTCTCCAGGTTGTACTTGTAGGGGGTGTAGTTCCCGTGCCAGGCCACAACGTTAAATGGGGAGACATCCTGATCACACAAACACAAAAAAAGCAGGAAAGGGTGATCTTAGTACTTAATGCTTTTGTAGCTGTGATTCCACAGTTTGTATTTGGCATCACTGTCTCTCCTGATTTGATTTTGTTCACATAATCTAATAATACCATCCTTTGGGAGAAGTATAACCCTGAATCATGTTGTGGTTGCTTCAAGTGCCTACAGACTGTCCCTTGCTAAGCCACTAACCCTATTTTTCCAGTTCATAAGCTGCAGCTGCCTCAGATCACATGTGCAGCAGAAGCACAATGCATTCTCCAAGTAGTGCCTTTTCAACAATTTTTAACACAGTTGTGAGAATCTGCGAATGTCAGCAATTCTCAGACAATCTGGGCCACCGTCTGGGTTTCCCGGTGCACTTGCTGTGACTGCTCTCCAGGTAATTGCTGTCTAGAGGAGCTTCTGGTACATGCAGTGCCTGGGTTGGTAAGTGCAGGAGGGTGAGAAGGGATCTAAGAGTTCCCTTAGGACTCAAGGACTTGAGTTTCCAGAACAATCCTAAGGTGATGCTTCCTGGGCCTGCCCTGGGGTAGGAGAGGATCAGTGCTCTGTTACAGGAAGGTAGTCCCCATTGTAGTTATGCATCTGTTCTGGAAACGGAACCCAATTCAGAATGTTCTAAAGACTTTACTGAAGGGACTACTCAGACAGATATGATTAGAGTTAAGTGAACTGACTAGAGATGGTGAGGTTTCTGAGTCTAGCAACAGTGGGAAGATATTGCCATTCCTAGGCCTGAGGGATATGGGAAGAAAATGCTGTTATAGGATTCAAGCAAGAGCTAGAACCATGAAGAAGGGGCTGTTCAGTGGTGTGGTGGTATATATTTAACAACTGCCTCTCTGGAAAAAATTAAAAAGCTCTGTTTTATAGAATTTGCTAATTTCTGGGGTATAAATACTCTCACCATGATCATTTTTTCATCTACTAACGTGATGTTGCTGAACAAACACAAAGCTGGGAAGAATGTGTATATTAGCTCTTTCATGCCAGTATGAACTGGTTTCAGCACACCACCGAGGCTACCCAACAGGAGCTGAGATCATGGAAGGATGAAGTCCCAACTAGGGAAGAAGCAGGGGAAGAAAAACCCCAACTTGTCTTTCCTCCTGCCCTCCAATTTCCTGTGAGTACCTCTCACAGGTTGAACCTAACCAAAAGCCTAGGGAGCCCATATAGGTCAAGCTCTCAGGTGACAGATCGTGGCAGAGAAGGGATAATGGATCAATGTAGGAGGTCACACAAGGAATAACCAGCACAGAGTTCACTTGGGAAGTGGAAATCCATGGAGCTGCTGGCTGCCTCTAGAATGATGGCTCTCTCTCAACTGTATGTCAAAAATAATATGGGGACCATGCTTAAAATGACTGAAGGTTTCCACACTCTGTTCCCAGAAGTTATCATTTTTGCTAGGCTGGAGTAACATCAAAGAACCTGCATTTTAAACAAGCCTCCCTCAGAATTTCTGATGCAAATGATCTCTGAACCACATTCTGAGAAATCCTGACCCAGACAATATGAAGGTGACAATGTGTCAATAAGGCAGGCAATTAACTCTCAGGGGTTAATTTTAAGTGCCAAACTAGTTGGCCTCTGCTGGTTAGCATACCCTCTAGATGCTGTCCAAGAAAAATAATATGCCTTGAAAAATATAAGCAATATGTCAAATGGGCAAAAATAATGCTAATAGATAATGGTAAACAGAAGAAATCTTTGGATTGCTTTGTTTATATGATTACTTTCTGCTAATATATATTCCATATATTAAGTAATAATATAATATATCTGATATATTATAGGTTGCATATTGTTATTATTTGTTAATATATCCCTAATAAGGGATAAGCCTTTGCTTGTCTTTGAGTTTACAAGGCTGTTGGTATAAACTAAGTCAAGCTAATGAACTGAGTTCTACTTGTTTTGTATCAGTCATGGCTTGTATTTGAAATATGGTGGCCATTGATAATATAAATATTGGGTGACCTGCTTGTTTACTCATTTCCCTTTTCAGAACAAACTATCCTGCCTGTATATTATATTTTATACACCATTTATAGAGATCTACTATATTGCCAGGATTTTTATTGCTTGGTGAGTAGAAAGAGCATGACCTTTGGAGTCAAAGAGATATAGGTACTAATGCTTGTTCTGCCATTTACTATGGCATTTGGCAAATTATTTGTAATTCCCTTTTCATGACTATAAATGAGACAAATAGTACCTTATTTGTAATTATTTAGTGGTATGGTAAAGATTAAAGAATATAATATATGTCAAGTACTTATAAAGATTAAAGAATATATGTCGAGTACTTAACACTGGCCTTAGCAATCAGTAGGTGCTTAATATTCCCTTCCTGTCTTCCAATCATCCTCTTACTTTACCTGTTTGGCAGCAAATAGCTTGCCCTGGTATTTATTAATCACAGTGTAGCCACCTGGCACTTGGCGATCTTCATACCAGGCAACGGGTATCAAAAAATCACGAGGATTGGCCAGGCCATTAGCTCCTAGAACACAGCAACCCAAAAGTCTTTTAGACACTTGTGAAATCATATAGGAAAGATGCCTACAGTTGCACAAAGAGAAAGGGCTCTCTTCCATGTCAAAAGCCATTCCATAATTTGTTTTCATTGTCCAAATGCTCATTGGAATCCTTTTTACCTTTTACCTCCTAAAAGGAAGGTAAAGGATTAGGAAAAAGATTAGGAAACATGATTAGTAAAAAGAATCATGAAAATAATCATCATCATCATCATCATCATCATCACCAGCATCACCTCCTAAAGTTGTAGAGTAAGTATGGCTTATCAACCATGTTACAGGCATTACCGCATCACTGCAGGTGAGGGGAGAGGATGAGGCTAGAAAAGAGGCAAAGGGAAGGTCTGGTAGAATACTAGAGCTTCTCTGTTAAGAAAACCATGATGATTCTAGAACTCATCTACAGTCCTTGATCTCAAAAAGGAAGGGTTACATACTGTTGCCCCAGGCATGCCTCTGCTCCTCAGACAGAACTCAGAATCAATCTGCAGAATTGCTCTCCAGCCTGACAAATCTGTCTGCCACTCAGGACAAAAGTATTCAGGACTTGCCTGCTTACCTTTGCTTAGGAGCGAGTGTTCCCTCCAGAGAAGGAAAATAAATCAAAAGACCAAAAATAAAAAGTATAAGTGCAAAAACATAATTTAACTCTGAGAGGAGAGACCTGGGGAGTGTTTTATCATTTCCAGCTCCTGGGGTTAAAAAATATAAGCCCCCAGCTGGTTAGTAAATTATATATATTTTCCAGAGGGTACGTGTTCCATGGAACCTGGAGGCTATGCTGGCTGTAGAGCAGCAGGAAGCCAGACTGAAGTGGGAAGAGCGGGTGGTGAGCAGGATGACAGACGGCCCACCGTGGCTCCAGCTGCCTCTCTGCTGCCTCCCACCTTCCTCTGACTATTTGGATCTCCCCAGGGGAGTGACCAGAAGGCACATGCTGGCCTGGCCTGTTTTGCTCTAAAAAAGCTGTTGACAAGGAAAGGAAGAACTGGGAGGTGTGGCCACCACCTTCAGCAAACATGCCAAAGATGAAACCAAGGGCCCATTTTCCAAGCCACTCCTTTCACTCCAAGAGATGTTTTGAGAACAACTCCTACCACCTTCACTTCTCTCCTGCATCTTCTGCCTCCAGTTTGCCAGAAGAATCGGGGGTGGGGACCTTGATTCACTTTTGAAAGTTTTAATCTGCCTCATAGAGGCTGTGGTTTCTAGCTCCTTCATAGCTCTGAGTTAACTGTGTAGATTTTGTGGAATGTGATGAGTAGGAATGTGAAGTTTGTAGACTATCCGCACTTCAGCCTGTGTCCCCTTTCCATAGGAGTATAGCCCTTGTTATAGCTTTTCTCTACTTTATTGTCTACACACACCCTCTTGACTTAAGAAGATGATCTCCCTCCTATTCACAAAGCTCATTCCCACATGTATGTTTTTGCTTAAGCTGTTCCCTTTCCTTTTATTTTTCCTCAACTCTTCGTCAAGGATTAATCAAATCTCATGTCTTCTGTAAAGCTGTTCCTGGTGACTTGGCCCCCCAGTAACCCAAACTTCTACATCCTTCAGGATATACACTGTATAGCCAGAAATCTATTTTACATTGTCTGCTCTTCAACGGTCTATATACTACTCTAGAGAGAGAGATTTAGAACATGTTGGCTTTGGTTGTTCACTTTTATGTATGTATTTTATGGGAAAAGGCTTGTGTTACCCTTGATGAGATTCCTGTCAGTACCCTCAGCACAACACAAGAGCCAAGACTAGCTGATGGATTGATATACCGATGAACTAATTAATGATTTTATTTCATCAGTTGGGTTGGCCATGACACTGAATCCCTGAACTTAGAGGTCTGAAAAAAATATTTGGGGTTGCTTAGGGAGTTCTAATAGGTTTCTGAACTTCTCAACTACACTTGGTCTAGAGAAGTTGTCTGGAGAGGAAAGTTGAAATTTGAGTGAGATAATGAGGGGAGAAGGGTGTGTCACTCTCATGAGATTATCTGTCCTATCTCTCAAGGGAGCCTAAAAGCTTGTAGTGAAGATTTACCAATTGGTCCTAGGTCAGGCAACTCAAAGTGGACGCCGTAGACCTCCAGGATGTAGCCCCTGGTCTCCTCGAAGACATCTATGCTGAACCGCATTCCTCTCTGGAATGGGAAGCAGACACTGGTGAGCACTCCCAAATCATACCTGTAGCTATAAAGAAGACGCCCCAGAGCCACAGCCAGCCCCACATGCAAAAAGTACAGCTATAGTCTGTTGAGGTATGTTTGAGAGGTGACCAGCTCAAAGATGAGTTAAAACGAAAAATTTAGGGCGTCTGGGTGGCTCAGTCAGTTAAGCATCTACCTTCGGCTCAGACCATGACCTCATGGTTCCTGAGTATGAGCCCGGCATCGGACTCTGCTGTCCACGTGAAGCTCACTTTAGATGCTTTAGACCCTTTCTCTCTGCCCCTCCCCCCACTTGCGCATGCTCTTTCTCTCTCAAAAATAAATAAAAACTTTTAAAAAATTAAAAATAAATAAATAATTACTTAAAACAAAACAGACAAACAAAAAAGGAAAAGTATAACTCCTAATCACATCTATGACCCAAACCAATTCTAATCTAATCTCTCATTGGACTCAGAGATCCCAGTGCTCTTATATAGCCACATTTTTAAGAAATTAATCTTCACTGCACCCCCTCCCCCAATCCATGTGAACAGAACCCTGTCTAAAGTATATATAAGTATTTCGGAAAGCAAATTGACAATGCTCTTTGCTTTGTGATGGTGTCTTATTTTAAAACAAACCAGGCACCCAAGCCTGCTAACCCTTCGGCACAAGAGCCTTCTGCATGACTAAAACTCCCTCTCCTTGCTTAGACACAATCCACCAAGAAATTTTAGAGTTGGAAATAACAGCAGCTGCAACATCTGATTGCTCCCAAATTAGGGAGAGGCAAGGGAGAGGGGACACATCACCAACCTGAATGACGCAGATCTCATTGGGCTGCACAAGCATCTTGCCAAACTCAGTGTAAATGAGAAGTTTCCCTTTCTGGGGAACTAACAAAAAAGACAGGGCAGCAGTGAGCAATTCTTCCCATGTGAGGACCACTTCATGAAGAGCAAAAGGCTTAAGGGCTGCATTTGATTTTTCATTCCAAAAGAAAAGAGCTTTATTGAGTCTCATGGAGGGAAATGGATATTCTGACAACTTAGGTTAGGAATTTTACTACCTAGAAGAAAGTGAAAGAAAAAAGTTGACTCTGTTTACTCTTGGTTGCCAGGAAAAGAGTTTGTATACGCACAGTTTTGTGTATTGACCAAAAAGGGCAGCAGAAATAGGATGGAAAACCACTCATTTCTGGTAGTTCCAGCAAGAGTCTGGCATTTGCATATCTAATGTCTACACCAAAATGTTGACTTCAAAATATCAACACTGAAACCATCAAATAGAATTGGCAGACCAAAGAAATCTCTAACAGACATTCTGTTTTAGATGGCATCATGAAAATTTCTATTTAAACTGCAGATATCGATAACAGATGGTATATTATTGAGTGGGTTTGAAGGCAAATAGAGTTATCTTAGTAAATTAATCACAGGTTGGTATTACTCTTTATTTCCTTTCAGTTGCCAGATCTCCCATGTTATAAAGGCCCAGCAGAGATAGGCAAAGGCAGAGAGACTATGGAATAGAGCAGGGGCTTTGAGGTACACCAGGAATCTGTTCCAGACCACCAATGACCTCTAGACCTCAGTCTGCAGATTGGACTACATAAGACAGACTGAAGGATAAAGGAAAATAATATGTATAAAATAGAAAAGTAGCTTGTGATTGGGGACCAGTTCACAGTGAAATCTTCAGAACTTACCAATCAAGAAGTCCCCATCTGAATTGTAAAAACATCTGAAACATAAAGAATAATTCCTGTGATTTTTCAGTTTTAACAATGTTCAGACAAATTAACTCACACCACAAAATTGTTTACTACCCACCATGTGCCAGGCTCAGTACTGGGTATAAACTGGTGAGTAAAATGACCCAATCTCTGCACTCATGCAGCTTACAGTCAGGAAGCTTACAGTAGGAAGTCAGATAGCAATCAAATAATTATAGAATATCATCATAAACTGTCATGGCACTATGAAAGTCAAGTTCAGGAGAATGGAAGAAAAATGAACCTGTTCCAATGGGAGGGGTCAGCAAAAGCGTCCCTGAAGAAGAGATATTTGACCTGAGATTTGGAGGAATTATCTAGGCAAGAGTTTGGGGAGTGGGGAGAACATTCCAGACAGAAACAACAGCACATGCAAATAAATGCTGTGAGGCAGGAGAACACATGGCAGGTTGAAAGAACTGTATGAAGACTACTGTGGCTCAAGTGAAAAGAGAGAAGGTGGAATGATGTGAGGCTGGACCCAAAGGTACATCTTCAGTGCTTTGTCATGGCTCAGAGAATTTAAATGACTTGCCCAAGATTACTCAGCTAGGAAGAGTGGAATTGGGTTTGGATGTAACATTCTGGTTCCAGAGGTAGAGTGCAAAACTGCCATGAGATTCTGCTTCCCCAAGAAAAGGCAGAATGCCATTTATATATTTTTCTGGTTCAAAAATTTAAGCTCCTCTATTGAGGAATGTTAAGTTTGCACAATTATTACCTGAAGCCAAAGTCTGTCAGCCTGACCTACCACCAACTTGTGGCCCTTAATGGCTTCTCATGCAGTATGACTTTGGCCTCAAAAACAGTCCTGGGGAACTTTAAGAAATTAGAGATATTCTGACCCAAACCTGGTTAAAGTCAAAATGCCTCTTGGACTACTCCACCTTCCCAATGCCCATCGTCTGTTTTCTATTTACATTGTTATGTGACATTTTTGTTTATGTTACAGGAGTCAGTCAAGTTTGAAGCCCTCACTTATTTTTATTAATTAATGTATATCAATGTTGCTCTGGGGAAAAAACAATAACATAAAACAACAACCTGGCTTTCACCCTCTCACCAATAGCTCTTAGGGAATGGGGATGTTCTGCCCCAGTACTGAGCCACTTACCTGTTCCCCATGGAGGTGTTACACAGGAAAATATGGATGGCAAGCCCATTGTTAGACTTTATGTCTCCAGCTCCACACAAGGTGTGCAGGCCCTGGGAGAGACCACAGGAGAAGGAGGGGTGAATGTGAGTATTGTCCAAGACGCCAGCCCTCCTCCTGGTCCCTGAGAGACATGTGGCAAGGTTTTACCAGGGTCTGCCCTGTGGGACAAGTGAGACATTTGGGGTCCAGCCTGCCTCTGGGGAGCCTGAGATTTACTGTTTATGTTTAGTAGGTGGTGGCTCACCCTATTTGCCAGCCATGGCCCTAGATTTGGACTGTCTCAGTGGCTAAGATCACTTTACTTGGCATTTTATCAGTTTTGTGCTTAAGATCAACCTAGAGGAGAGTTTCTTTTGGAGGTAAAACTAGGCACCTAGGAGGCCTAGGGAGGAAGGTTGCCACATCAGTGTTCCCCAAATACACCTTACCATGTAGGCAGCCCCGTGCTTATACATAGGGTCAGCCCTATTTTTTCTAGAACAGGAAAGTGGAAGCATTCTGACCAACTGTAATCCTCTCTGCTGATAATCCACAGTCCAAGAAACCTTAACACCTGGGTCTTCTCAAAACTCTCAGCCCCAACCTGCAGATGAGAAGCCTGAAAGGAGGGAGCTCTGCTCCTTCAGATATCCACAATTCACCCACAGTGGGGGATTTATTTTTGTATTTTAACTCAGTTTGCCAGTTTGGGGTCTATTTAGATGAGTCTACACAGAGCTTGGAGCATTGAATATAGACAAGGAATTTGCATGATCCAGAAAATTTGGCTTATGGCTGGGCACCTGGACTCTCCCTAAGTAAGCCATTGGCTGAGGTTGGTCTGCAAAGGCCTCCACTGGCTTCTTTGAGCCCCTCCTCATTGTAGCTCCCTTCCTTCTCCCCTACAATGTTTGCTCTGAGCACAAGTGTTCCAATACTCCCAGCCCTTATAACTACCAAGCAGAACTTGTGACCAGCATTGCATTAACTAAAGTTGTCGACCTGAGTTGATGCTATTCTAGCCCAAGGGTCCATTTCAGAAAGTTCATGAACTCGGATGGGGACAAAATTATATATTTATTTTGACTAATCTCTGAAATGTATCATTTGCTTCAATTAATATGAATGTAAGCAAAAACCCACAGAAATATTAGAAGTGCCTGTAACCTTTCCACTGATAGAAATCTTGGGTTCTTTATATCACATTATAGTTATTATGGCTATTCCAGAGTATCATTTATGTTCATACTTCTAACAACCATAGTTATTAGATATTTTCATAGATCTTGTGATGTAGTGCATTAATAAGGAAGCATATATGTTACTATAAACCAAACCAAATTTGTTATTTTAATATGTTAATCATTGTATTTCAATATAATCAGCTTCTTTGTAATTTTATGGAATTTATTTTATGCATTTAAAAATACAAGATTTGCCAGACTATTAAAGGAGTCCATGGGGGGAAAAAGGCTAAGAACCCTTTTCTAGCCAAAAACAAAAAACCTCAGGTAGGTCAATGCTCAATTTCCACTGGCCATTCAGAGATGTTGTAAATAGCTTACCAGTGCCCTTTGGTGTCAGGGGCCATATGGTGCCTAAGTAAGACATCGCTCGGCCAGCCCTGAAAACAGAGGCAGGTGGTTCTGTCTCTGCTGCCTGCCTCTAAGTCTGCTTCCACTTGGCATTCAGCCTGAAGATGGCTGGATCACTCACTGGGGAAGAAAGAGCAGAGGGCAGGTGTGGATGCTGTTGACTTACACTCACAAAGTCCACTTTCTTCTGAGACGTTTTTGGAATCTCAAATGGTTTCCATCGAAGCTGGAAAAAAGATACACATAACAGGAAAATTATTTTAGAAGGGGAAACCATAGACTTTCTAAACAAATAGCACCAACTACACAGAGAAAGGACAGCTGTTTCTTCTGTGTGGCTCTGACTACTTGTAATTTTGTTCTTTTACAATTAATAATTACCCATTATTTCCTAAAGGGTATCAGTTGGGTTCTCTGTGTGTATGCAGTATGTGTGTGTATGTGTGTTTAACCTATATGTATATATATTGTTTTCATTCTTTAGCACTTTAAACTAAAAAAAAAATAAAAAAAGATCATTGCTTCTTATTTCAGAAGCTGTTTGTTTCCCTTAACATTTTTCTCAGGCACATCAGTGAGTTTTGACTGATGCTGCTTTTTCTGCTATTTATAATCGGCTTCCTTTCCTGGCATGCCAGCCTCTCTGTGTGGGCTCCTGACACTGCAGGGGAAGGTTCTGCTTTTACTTCCAGCCCTGGGAGGTTTGAATTACTTCTTTAAGAGAAAGAGAAAGCACCCAACTGAGGCTGGATTTAGTAAATGCAGCACCAAGGTTCAATTTCTTCACCAAACCCCACGTTTGTCTCCAGGCTGCCTGACAGTTCAGTTTAAATCACAACAATCTTTAATTTAATAATGAAATGATCTAAGGAAGTTGGGGAGAAAAATCAGCAGGTCGAGGACCTACTAGAAGTGTTGGCCCAGCACTTATTAATCAATTTGGCAGCAAGCCTGACCTAGGCAGGCTGGCAGCGGATAAACTGAGGAGCCTCAGGACATTGCATGGGGTGACCTGTGTCCCGATGGCTGGCTCCACTGGCTGTCGCACCTGGTCAATGCAGGTGAGGCAGGGCCTCTGCTCGGTCATGAGGCTCAGCTCATTTTGTATTTCAGAAAGGCAGCCAAGTGGGAAAGGAAGCAGCAAGTGGAAAAGTTGGCACTGGGATTATTCTGTCTCTCTGACATACACAGTTGGGCAGGAGTCTTTATTTTTTAAAAGCAAAGCAGAATTATCTCATTTGGGGACTACTTAAATGTTGATTTGAAAGACATTGTTGAAATCATGTCTCAGAAAGAAGGAAAAGGTTTAGGATGGATTCCTTTAAAGATGATGTTTTCTGGGGCAGGAGGGAGAACCTGAGAGCAAGGATCTAGGAAAGGGTTTCTCAACCTTGGCACTACTGACACTTTGTATTGGATAATTCCTTGTTGTGGGAGGCTGTCCTATGTAGTGTGGGATGTGTGGCCGCATCCCTGACTGCTACTCACTAGATGCCAGTAGCAGTCCCCCAAGTTGTAGCAACCAAAAATGTCTCCGTATGTTGTCACATGTCATCTGGGGGACAAATTTCCCCTGGTTGAAAACCACTGACCTGGGAGGATAGTCCCCTGACATTAGGAAGGGCCACAGCTAAGCACTGCTAGTTTTTTGAGAGGAGGTTCTGATCTACTACTAACCACTACATGCTGCTTCCCTCTATAGTAGCAGTGTGCCGAGTTTGTAAACCCAGGAAGATTGTCTGGAAGATTAGACTACTGAGCATCTTTGTCTCAAGAAGAGTTATCATTTTAGATTTCCCAATGGAAGGGATTTAACCATCAGATCAATGATTGCCTGGGTAACCTTTAGACCTATCCAGAGATTCTAAACCTGCTTACCCATAAGTCACCCAGAAGGTCTTTGAGACCCAAGACCAAATTAGATCAGAATCTGTTCAGTATTTTATAAAAGCTCTTCTAATGGGGCAGCTACAGTTTAAGAATTGGCACACCCAGCCAGAGATTCTGTGATTCTTATATTGCTGAACCAAGCATCATGTTCAGAAAAGTCCACTAAGTCAACCAATCAACCAATTAATCAGTCAACTAAATTGTGGTACTTTGGCCAGATGTGGCAGTAACATGCCAGCTACCAAACAGCAAGAATGTTTAAATAATATAAGGATTTATACACCTAAGAAAAAAGAGCAAGAACAGAGAACTCCCTTCAGACGTAACTTGAATCGATCTTCT